GGGGGATAGAGATGGGTGGATAGGGGAGGGTGTGAGTGTGTTTCCCTGAGCCACCCAAGGCCAAGGCTAAGCTAGTCAAGTTTTCTATTTCTTGCTGTTAGGGGCTAATGTTTTCCTCATTAATCTAACAAGAGGATCAAACTTTAAGATTTCCAAGCTTCTTGCAAGGATCTCTATGTTACAATCTGATGAGCAAAATACAGTTTCTGTTTTTTTACCCTCAGTTGGTCTTTCAAATTTTAATCTTTAGGCCATAAAAGAAAAGAAATTCCCCTACATTTCAGAGCAACACTGGTGCTTAGACTGTCTGATTTTGAAATTTCTTTATATCTGCTCTCAAAAAATTTCCTAGTTTTTTTCCTCATTGTACTGTCTTATTACAGAGAGTCTGACAAGCATTTCACTTACAGTCACTTCTATCCCTCACGATAAATTCATGGCTTGGTTCAAAGTTAGGTGAAAACTTTATGAAGCACATTAATTTCCAGTTGGATAAAGAAGAAAAAAATAGGAGTAGGAGAAAAGTGGCCTTCGTTGCAAGAGCACAGAATGAGTTATAGCATACTTATACCCACTTAGTATTTCATTATTATTTATCTAGCACTATGTTCAACATCATTGTAGGTACTTGGAGCTGTGACTAAACAAAGGCATATAAATGATGATACATAAATGAATAGATAAAAGAAAGAAGAAAACAATGTAGCATCTCTGAAAATAAGAAAAACCTATACATATATACTTTATTATCATTATAACTAGAGGAGGCAGACAATTCCTGTCCATTGTGATTACAGTGGCCGGTTTTATTTTCCTTCTACCCCAGGGAATATATATCCCCTAATGGACTATAAGTTTCCAAGGCAATCTTCACAGGCAAAGTTTCTTGCTTAATGATATTTCCAAAATTCTATTGATCTACAATGTGGCACCTCTCAGCTCTCATTCAGTCACAAATGCAGAAGAAACACTCTATAATTCACATTGGCCTTTCCAATAAATCAATCGATTTAGGCTGTGAAGTGTTCTAATTCGACTTCTATTTTCTTCACCAATAAATCTTGAGTTTCATATCCACAACCAGCCATGGCCCAGAATGACAGATTTAACAAAGGCTTCATCCTGATAGCTGTGGAGTAAGCATTCTGCTGCATTTTCACACCATAAACATTTAATGAGACTTGCTCCCAGCAGAGTATTTCCTACATCCATTTATTTCATCACAGTATATTTGCAGGAGCAAAACAGAGCAAAGGTTATTTCAGATCCTCCACCAATACAGCTTCCTGTAAATAATATAAAGTACATCCATTTAATTCACAAAATTATTGTTAAAAGGTTAACTGTTGAGTAAATTCTGTTTTATCTAGTTCAGATTGCCTTGGTAATTATTTGTAACTTGGATATTTTTTTCAGCCCTTTGGTACTAAACCCTATCTCTGACTGTAACTAAATTTCCAAAGCTGTTATGACAATATGAAGATCTTGGAGAAATATTTGACATCCCGCCTGTTTGTTGTTTGCCATATGAAGCCTTCTGTTCTTGAAAAGACACCTCGCACTCTCCTCCTCTCTGGCCTCTGCTATTTCTTACCTATAGCATTCACTTTCAACTAAGTAAGAAAATAAAGATGTCCCAGATGGGGCCCATTGGAAAATGTAAGGACAAATGAAGTCTTTCATGGGTGCATCTCTGGACACAATTCTGTTTAGCACTGTGGAATTCTGCCCATCCACTCTGGAAAGTTCCATACCACTGTAGAAGCATTCCCGGAAAACAGTTTCTACTTAAATGACCCGTGGACAGAGTCTTATCCAGCAGAAAGATTTGGTTGCATTTATAACCCCTCTGATGACTCACATAAACTAAGAACCTTAGCATATATTACGCCAAATTTTGATTGAGCACATTAAGTTCGAGCTGGGAAAACTAAGTAACTGCAGCTACAAATTCTCCTTGGATCGGAGAGACAATAGTCATATCCCGTCTACTCCTGTTCACTGGCTTTCTGGTGAGCGACACATAGAACTTACGTCTTAATTTTATTTTCTTTAAATTAAGAATAAAATTGCTTTATGGTACTACTTTAATAACTGAGTGAGTAATTAGTGTAAAATGTTTAGCCAAAGATCTAGAGAGATGCTCAGCAGTTTAGAGGGTTTGCAAAGTAATCATGAAGACTAGAGTTCAGATCCCAGCATCTACTTAACAAGCCAGGCATCCAGCACAGGTCTGTGACCCCAGCTCCAGGGGGAACAGGGACAGGAAAATAGATGGGCCTGGTTGACTTCCAGCCTAGCCAAGGAAACAAGAGCTCTGGGTTCAGGAAGAGACACTGCCGCAAATGAATAATTGGAGAACAGTAATGAAGGAGCACCTGACACCCTCTTCTGGCCTCCATGTGTGTACACAGGTATGTACACCACCCCACAAACATATGAATGAATAAATACCAAGTTTTAAAATGTTCAGTCATCAAGAAATGTTTTATATTCTATTGACTGTGAGGCTAATACTTCACTGGTATTTCTAATATCTACTATTATGACTGATCTAAAAAGTGAGGTTATTAACCTTATTTTGAAAACAAGGCATGCATATAAAATACACAGGACTACTGAACTGACTGTTCATAACAGAGCAAACATTGGGTGATGGGGGATTATTAGCATCTCCATTCATCTTCTACCTTATTAGACAGAGTTCCCAAAATCTTCACACAGCAGATAACTAGAAATCTTACAATTTTTCACATGAGAAAATACTTAGGAAGCTATTAATATTGGATTAGAAAGGAAGACCCTGTTTAAAGACAAGTAATTAAAAGAAAGGTAAGCTATTCTTAAATGTATTAACTATCTGACTGAATAATGTTAAGAATAAAGTGTGTATTTGTTCAGCTATCAGTAAAACTTTAGTAAATTTCATCATGATGATTTCTTTCATTATGGAAGAATGCACCTCCAAGTTGTCTCTAATGATGTTAAAATTGATTGGTTATTTACCATGTGGCAATCACTGCTCTGCACCTTTGTGCCTATGTTATTCACTCATTGATCCTCACAACACTGTGATGTAGGAACTGTTATCAGCCTCACATTATAAATAAAAACACCATAATCTCCCAAGGTCACAAAACAGAAACCCAGGAATCAAGGTGCTAGAATTCTTATCCTTGGATGCCACAATATGCTACCTCCCACCGTGGAACTACATGTCTAACTGCAATAACCAATGATCTTTGACATCATATTTGAAGGTCTGATGAACATCTCAACCTCAACTTGTTAAAAATCGAGTTTCTGGGGAGCTGGAGAGATGACTCAGCAGTTAAGAACATTGACTGATCTAGCAGAGGATCTGGCTTTGATTCCCAGCACCTCACAGCGGCTAACAACCATCTGTAACTCCAGTTCCAAGGGACTCCAACACCCTCTTCTGACCTCTGCAAGCACGGCACAACACAGGTGCACTAACACACATGCAGACAATAGAAATAAAAAATAATAGTAAAACATTTTCAAAAATTGAGTTTCTGATCTTCTCATAACCAGCCTTCCCCTAGCCTCCCTCATCAGTGTTAATGAAACTTCATCCACCTAGTTGCTCAAATTTTAAAATTTAAATACCCATGCTACACAAGAGGTAAAATAGCTTCCCCTGCCTTCCAAATAGAGCTTACTGTCCAGCTGTGAACCGGGCTATCCTCACCTACACAGAGCAATCCCCCTGATTCCAGAGTGGAGGAGTTTCACAGGGCACGTGACCTACATTCAGCAATGGAAGATGCAGAAAGGCCTGGGTACACCGGCTGATGAAGGCACTCTAAAGACTGCTTCCTAAGAATCACTGTGGATCTTACTGGGTCTGTGGACTTCATCCTACCACTTGCCTTCCCAGGCATTAATTCCTAGTAATGCCTTGGATTGAAAATTCCATTCTGTGATGCTGCACAACACTAGCCATGACTCTGCCTTTTGGCTCATGCCCCACATCCATTCTGTTGTAATCCAGCTGACTCTACTCAGCCTCACTGTTCCATTAACATGCCCATGTGAGGGGGGAATAAGTTGATGCATAAAATATGTAAGGTGGACCCAGATTCCTATAACAGTTTCCCACCTGGTTTCCAGCTTTTCAACTTTATTTTCCTTGAGTCAATATATTTCTTTTAACATATAAGTTTCACTGTGTTAAAGCCTTATAACAGATTCTCAGTTGGCTCAGAATAGAAGTCTGCACAGCCTTTATAACCTGGTCCTGCTGGCTGTCTACCTTATCTGTAACTTCCCCTTGCTGACTCTACCCAGGCTCCCTGGCTTCTGTGCTGTCACCAAAGCAGGGGAAAATGCCTTTGAGCCTTTGCTCTAGAACTCCACCTGCCCCATTCCTGGATCGCCTCAAACCTTTGATAATACCACACCTTTCACAACACGCTATGCAATTTAGTTATTCATAATGTTTAGTGTGGGGTTTTTGCCCATTTGTTCCTGGGGAAGTATAAGCCCTTGTCAAGGCCACTGACCACATATATTTTTTGAGCACACAGAACAATGCCCGTAATAAATATTTGTGGAATAAATAAATCCTGCACTTCAGAAGTTGATCTATATAAAGTCGAGTCATCATATTAATCTCATAAACAATTCAAAGCCTTCTTTGGAAGAAATACAAAGGAATCCTAAATGTACTCATGGAAAATTTTCCTACTTATCAATTCACTGGAAGATCTGAGAAAGATATAGACTAGTTAGATAACTAGATTTGTGTGTTATCATATGCTACACTCCACCATGTAACTCTGAAGCCTGCTTCTCTTTTACTTTGTATTGAGACATTAGATCACATTTGTTCTCTCTCTCTCTTCTCTCTCCTCTCTCTCTCTCTCTCTCTCTATCTCTCTCTCTCTCCCCCCCCCCCCCCGTCTCTCCTAAGCCATCTCTCTCTCTCTCTCTCTCTCTCTCTCTCTCTCTCTCTCTCTCTCTCCCCCCCCCCTTACCTCCAGCTCATCAAGCGCACTTCCCAGGGTTGCAGCCTGAGGCTCAGATGGGGGCAGCATATTCGGGATGCCTTGGGAAGCATTTGAAATCACATTGAGGGCATTCTGAATTCCCTCGCAGACCGAGTCCTTACTGGCTTTGAGGGAAGCAACATCAGAATGTTCCAAACAAGCCGAACAAATCGAATGCAGGAGAGGGGTGTTCTCTTTCAAAGTGGCCCGGGCTGCTGCAATTTCATCCCTCTGGTTAGGAGATTTTAAGTCCTGAGAAGAAACAAAAAAGTACCCTCTTACAATTGGTCATAGAAGAAACACATGTTACATGGAAACAGGAGAGTGTAAATCAAAAAACAGGAGACACTAAGCAATCAGGTGTAAGTTAATCAAAGGCCTCGCATATTCTTACAATCCTTCAGCTCCTCGGGTTCCACAACAGGGAAAGGGAGATAGCTCATAGTTAAAGGTCACAAAGGCAGAGCCCTGTAAAAAGGAGCAGATCTGCACACGGACCACTCATTTCCAGTCCCTGGGTTGTGTTTTCTGTTGCTGTAATACAATACCCTGACAAAGCAACCTGAAGGCAAGAGTCTACTGAACTCTCAGTTCCAAGTTACATTTCAGCACTTCAGGAAAGCCAAGACAGCAGTAACAGGAAGAAGCTACTGTTATTACACCCACCGTCAAAGGCAGAGAGCAGTGAATTGAGCCACGTACTCTAGTGCTCGGCTCCCCTTCTCTCATACAGTTCGGAATTCCTCTCCTAGGAAATGGTGCCACTCACCACCATTAAGGAACTCCCCACCTTGATGAACATGAGACAACACTCACAGATTGTGTTTGACAGCTTTAGTTGTCCACTTGACACACTCGGGTTGAGGGGATCTCAACTGACGGACTGTCTCCATTGGATTGGCCTGTGGCCATGTCTGTGGGGCATCTTCTTGATGAGTGATGTGGGAGAGCCCAGCCCACTGTGGGTGGTGACATCCCTGAGCAGGTGGGCCTGTGTTGTATAAGAAAGCATGCTGTGCAAAGGCCAGGGGAGCAAGCCAGTAGGCTAGCCCTCCTCTATGGTCTGTACTCCAGGGTCCTAATTTGAGTTCCTACCTCGGTTTCCCTTGATGATAGACTATACTGTAAGCCAAATAAGCCCTTTCCTCCTCAAGTTGGTTTTGATCAGTGTTTTTAATCACAGCATAGAAAGTGACTATACATCTATGAACACAGATGTACCCAAAGGTCAACTTAATCTAGACCACCCCTCCTTGAGGCTCCCTTCCCAGATGAGTCTAGATTGTGTCAAATTGACAATTAATACTAATCACTACATCCATATAAGTCACTTAATTAGTCTGGTACCCATATTATAAGGCATCTTGAATTATCAATATTCTGTTAATCTATTTTCCATAGATATTAATATTTGCACTTTTCATTAAAACAAAAACAAGTGAATTAAAAACTAAATTAAACGTCTCACAATTCAGCTACTTTTTTCTGTTCTTTTTCAGAAATGCTAGTAAGTTAATCCTGCATTTTTTTCTTCGATATTTATCCAACTAGTAGTTACTGAGCACAAAGTCCTTGTGTTAAACTCCAGGAGTAGAGATGTGAAGAATCCCACAAGGCCCTTGCTGTCCTGGAGCTCATGTTCATGTTTGGGGATAGAAAGCTCGTAGCCAAACAACAAACTAGGCAAACAGAAGCAAGTAAGTCTCAGACAATGAAAAATATGAATGAAACACAAAGTAAAATGCCACAGCAATTGAAGGATCAAAGGTAGAGGGCAGCAAGGATGTCTCTGTGCCGTGATAATGACAATTTGAAGAAAACCTAAATGAAAAGCATCACAAACCAGGAAGGCAGGATGGGGAGGGGGATGGAAAGTCTCACCTAAATGCTGGCTGGTCAAAACTAGATTAGGATCTGGCAAAAAGTCTGGCAATCTCTACCCTAACCATGTGATGAAGGCCAGCATCATCTGTGAGGTCACATGGATATATTATGACAAAATCATGTCACTTCAGGGACAGGAGTCTAGACACTCATAAATCTATCATAATAGTGGGACACACAACAAATAAAGCCAGATTGAGGGACATCTGGTATGACACATGGGCAATATTCCCCAAACCATTTAAGGTTTGAAAAACAAGATAAATTACTGATAAACTCTCTTAGATCAGAGGAGACTGAGGACATGAGGACTGAGGACATGGTTCTCTGGACCAGATCCTAGAACTGAAGAAACACATTCAGAGCTGGAGAGATGGCTCAGCAGTAGAAGAGCACTGGCTGCTCTTGCAGAGCTCAATTCCCAGCACCCACATGGTGGCTCATAACCATCTGTAACTCCAGTTCCAAGGGATCTGAGCTTTCTTCTGAACTCCATGGGTACCTTCAGACAAGCAGGTGTACATAAACGTATAAAATCTTCAAAGAAAATTTAAAGAATGAGGACATTTGTGTGCCCTGCTAGATCCAAATAAAGCCTATTAAGAATACTTAATAGTAATGTATCAGTGTTCATCTTTTGTTGGGGCAATGTTAAGATAGTAACAATAGAGGAAACAGAGAAAGGTAGATGGGAATTCCCTATACAATCATTTTGATTTTTCTATAAATATATCATTTACTACTACAAATTTTCTTTAAAAAGCTCTTGAGGGTCAAGGGCATTTAAAATACTTTATGCATGTCATATACAATATATTTTACAATATTCATAAAAATTCAGGATAAATGTGATTATTATCCTGTTTTTAAAAGTTAAAAAAGAAGTTTCAAGACATTAAATATCTTTAGGCAACAGAACAGATCCTGATTATGGCATTTTGCCTTTTATAAACTGCTAGTGTGACTCCTGAGTTCTCATTCAAACAATGTTATAAGTCTTTCCTGCTTAGAAGGAATTTCCTTTATTTGTTACACAAGAATGGGAACTTAATTTATATAAGACATAGCTTAAAAGGAGCTTCTCTGTGGTATCTTATTGATCACAATACCCTTGGGGGGCTTAGTTTGTTCTTACTAGCTCTATTTTAATAAAATAGATATTTAGTATAAGATTAAGTGACTGGTAAAAGAACATAGATCTAAACTTAAGTCTTCTCATTGCAAACACTGTGGGCTTTGGTTTTTTTGTTGTTGTTTGGGGGGGTTGTTGTTGTTGTTTTTTCTTTTTTCACAAGACCCTGCCTGCTCAAGATAACATTGCCGGAGTTAATAAATGGCTTGTGCTACTGTATTTTTAGTTCCTTCCCTTTTGAAAACAAAAGCTATCTGCTACTTCATGCAGACTTCAGGAAGATCAACTTCATTACAAGTTGTAAGGAGGCCAGTTAAAAGTAGCTGTCAACCCACTACTCACACTCATTAATTACCCAAGAAAAGCAATTTGTGATTTCTCGGCTTACTACAATCTCTTCTTTATTTCTGGTCTGGGTCCTACTTTTGGCTCTGTCATTAGGACTACAAGTTGGGTAAGTTTCCTGTTCTTTTGCTGCCTGTTTTTCCATTTGTAAGAATGGAGATAATGATACTTCTGTCAACCCTCTGACAAGGCAGCACACAGCACAGCAGAAATGGAATACGGCCTGTGGCCATGCAACCCTGAGCACACCAGTCTCATCCAACCCTAGAAGCCCCTTAGATGGATAAAATGAAATGTATGCAATTATAGAAAAATAGAGAATTATCCTCTAACTTTATAGTAATTGTAGAATAATAGGGAATTACTTTCTAACTTTATCAAAATTGATATGCAATTTTTGTCCTATGATGGTTCTGGTGATTTCCATATCCCCCCAAATTTTATAGCAGCATTCATTAACATAAGTCATACTGTGGCTTAGAAGATTAAGAGTATAATATTTAGAGGGGCTGGAGAGATGGCTCAGCAGTTAAGAGCACTGACTGCTCTTGCAGAGGACCTAGGTTCAATTCCCAGCATTCACATGAAAGCTAAGAACAATCCTTAACTCCAGTTCCAGGGGAATTCAACACCCTTTTCTGACTTCTGCGGCATTGCACGACATGGGTACATTCATGTACATGCAGGCAATGCACTTGTACACATAAAACAAAAATAATAAATAAAAATTTTTTAAAAAGAGTATAATTTTTAGAAAAGATATTCAGCCCTACAGATGAATTCACATAGAAAATACAATGTTCAAAGAGAGCTGGGGAAGATTATCTATACATTACAGTGTAATCACAATCTATTACATAATTTTCTCTCTAAAGCAACCTACACATTACAAATCTTTATTTAGAATGGCAATATCAATATCATAAGTTATTCCAAAGAAGGTTAAAGTTTAAAACTATTATTTCTTTTGCTCTTATGTTGGCTATGTGTATCTTGCTGTAAGTTGTAGTAAACTTTACTGCTATGAAGACTTCAGCATTTTAAAAAGTACAAGTATGGTTTGACTTTTGAAAATGTGCTTTGTCATCTCTACCGAAGATAATTACAGAATCCTTAGTGAGCACCAGCAACCCAAATATCAAGTCTGTGAAGCCTGTGATGAAAGAAAGGGTCAGTGAACGCCACACACAATATGACGACAGGTAGAGGAAAGGGAGGCAGGTTGTAGCATTTAGATAACAGAAGTTAAGAGGACAAGACCACTCCTCACCAGGGCTATATCACACACGATACAGTTAATGCAGCAAATACGCTTGGAGGTAAAATGGAAATGAATGTCTATCATTCTTCTCAATAAACAGTTGTTACAGGGTGTTCGTGGTTGCTTTAACTGATAATACCATGGGTTCATAGATTGTCTATTTATCCTAATTCCAAACCATGTCGAAATATGAATTAAATAGCAAGGTCATGGAGGGATGTCTCTGGAGAAATACACAGAATTCAGCTCCTCAAGGGTTGAAACCTATTAAATGTTTTGAATGTTCCAAAAGAAAAAGCTCAGATGAGATTTCCAAGTTAAGGAGACATTAAATAATTCCAGCTGATGAAGAAATTCACAGATGGGATTTAAAAAGAAAAAAAAGAACACCTTACTGCTGATGAAGAAATTCACAGATGGGATTTAAAAAGAAAAAAAGAACACCTTACAAGTCTATATAAGTGGGTAGAGAAAGTCACACATGATTTTTAACCCTGGCAAGGAAAAGAAGTATATTTAGAGATTTTAAAACTCACATAATAAAAATGGAGAGCTCCAACTTATCAGTTGAATCAACCATTCATCCAATCATTCTTGAGCCTTTATTATGCCTTAAGCACTGTGTTAAGT